ACTGCTACTATTACACCATGATGGGTACTACAGTGAGTACTACAAGTACTACAACTACTACTACTGCTACTATTACACCATGATGGGTACTACAGTGAGTACTACAAGTACTACAACTACTACTACTGCTACTATTACACCATGATGGGTACTACAGTGAGTACTACAAGTACTACAACTACTACTACTGCTACTATTACACCATGATGGGTACTACAGTGAGTACTACAAGTACTACAACTACTGCTACTATTACACCATGATGGGTACTACAGTGAGTACTACAAGTACTACAACTACTACTACTGCTACTATTACACCATGATGGGTACTACAGTGAGTACTACAAGTACTACAACTACTACTACTGCTACTATTACACCATGATGGGTACTACAGTGAGTACTACAAGTACTACAACTACTACTACTGCTACTATTACACCATGATGGGTACTACAGTGAGTACTACAAGTACTACAACTACTACTAACTGCTACTATTACACCATGATGGGTACTACAGTGAGTACTACAAGTACTACAACTACTACTACTGCTACTATTACACCATGATGGGTACTACAGTGAGTACTACAAGTACTACAACTACTACTACTGCTACTATTACACCATGATGGGTACTACAGTGAGTACTACAAGTACTACAACTACTACTACTGCTACTATTACACCATGATGGGTACTACAGTGAGTACTACAAGTACTACAACTACTACTACTGCTACTATTACACCATGATGGGTACTACAGTGAGTACTACAAGTACTACAACTACTACTACTGCTACTATTACACCATGATGGGTACTACAGTGAGTACTACAAGTACTACTACTACTACTACTACTATTACTGATGGGTACTACAGTGAGTACTACAAGTACTACAACTACTACTACTGCTACTATTACACCATGATGGGTACTACAGTGAGTACTACAAGTACTACAACTACTACTACTGCTACTATTACACCATGATGGGTACTACAGTGAGTACTACAAGTACTATAAGTACTACTCTTACTTCTTCAGCAGTTTTGCTGATTTGTTCTTCTGTGTTTCGTGGTTTTCTCAGAGTTTGGAGTTTGGCCTGAACCAGAGATAAAGAACAAAACTTTGATCCCAAACCCACGAGAACAGAACGTGTTCTACTGAGAACAGAACGTGTTCTAGAGAGAACAGAACGTGTTCTACTGAGAACAGAACAGAACGTGTTCTACTGAGAACAGAACGTGTTCTACTGAGAACAGAACCTGTTCTAGAGAGAACAGAACCTGTTCTACTGAGAACAGAACGTGTTCTAGAGAGAACAGAACGTGTTCTAGAGAGAACAGAACCTGTTCTACTGAGAACAGAACGTGTTCTAGAGAGAACAGAACGTGTTCTACTGAGAACAGAACATGTTCTACTGAGAACAGAACCTGTTCTAGAGAACAGAACATGTTCTACTGAGAACAGAACGTGTTCTAGAGAGAACAGAACGTGTTCTACTGAGAACAGAACATGTTCTACTGAGAACAGAACGTGTTCTACTGAGAACAGAATGTGTTCTAGAGAGAACAGAACGTGTTCTAGAGAGAACAGAACGTGTTCTAGAGGAGACTTGTGAAGTTTCTCTGTAATGTGAGTTTTGAAACAAACTGTGAGGAGCCAAACATGTAGAATTATTCAGAAATACAATTTAATCAAAGAGACTAAACCAGGTCTAAACCAGGACTAAACCAGGTCTAAACCAGGTTTAAACCAGGTTTAAACCAGGTCTAAACCAGGTCTAAACCAGGACTAAACCAGGACTAAACCAGGTTTAAACCTGGTTTAAACCAGGTCTAAACCAGGTTTAAACCTGGTTTAAACCAGGTTTAAACCCGGTTTAAACCAGGTCTAAACCAGGTCTAAACCAGGACTAAACCAGGACTAAACCAGGTTTAAACCTGGTTTAAACCAGGTCTAAACCAGGTTTAAACCTGGTTTAAACCAGGTCTAAACCAGGTTTAAACCAGGTCTAAACCAGGTTTAAACCAGGACTAAACCTGGTTTAAACCAGGTCTAAACCAGGTTTAAACCAGGACTAAACCAGGTTTAAACCAGGACTAAACCAGGTGTGTTCTTCAGGGGGAGGCTGGACTCATTCCCAGGATCTGTGAGGGACTCTTCAGTCGCATCAGCCACAACTCGAGCTGGGACCAGGCCTCCTACAGGACCGAGGTCAGGTAAGACCGGACTAAACCAGGACTAAACCAGGACCGAACCAGGACTAAACCAGGACTGAACCAGGACTAAACCAGGACCGAACCAGGACTAAACCAGGACTGAACCAGGACTGAACCAGGACTAAACCAGGACCGAACCAGGACTAAACCAGGACTAAACCAGACTAAACAGACAGGACTAAACCAGGACTGAACCAGGACTAAACCAGGACTAACCAGGACTGAACCAGGACTAAAGGACCAACCAGGACTAAACCAGGACTAAACCAGGACTAAACCAGGACTGAACCAGGACTAAACCAGGACTGAGCAGAGCTGGACTCATGTTTTGTTTCATTCACATGTTTGACACAAACTCTGCACAGTTACACTGAGTTCTTCTCTCAAACTGAAACACTCTGTTCCACCTGGTGATGTCATCATGTGGTGATACAGGAAGTGCTCCACTGTGTTTTTAAACTCCACACACCTTCACTAGAATCATCTGGATCATTTCAGTCCTGGAATTGCCACTTCATGACATCACAAGGTGGATCAGAGCATTTGGAGTTTTGGAGATGGAACAGACTCAGAATAAACAAACAAACAAACACGACTCCAGGTGCGTTTGTGAGGAGGGGCTTTTGTAGTTTTGTGATTTTATAGTTTTTGTAGTTTTGTAGTTTTTGTAGTTTATAGTTTGTTTGGTGTGTAGTTTTTGTGGTTTTGTAGTTTTTGTAGTTTGTAGTTTTTGTAGTTTGTAGGGTTTGTAGTGTTTGTAGTTTTTGTAGTTTTGTAGTTTTTGTAGTGTTTGTAGTTTTGTAGTTTTTGTAGTTTTGTAGTTTGTGTAGTGTTTGTAGTTTTTGTAGTGTTTGTAGTATTTGTAGTGTTTGTACTTTTTGTAGTTTTTGTAGTTTGTAGTTTTGTAGTTTGTAGTTTTTGTAGTTTTGTAGTTTTTGTGGTTTGTAGTATTTGTAGTGTTTGTAGTTTTGTAGTGTTTGTAGTTTTGTAGTTTTTGTAGTTTTGTAGTTTTTGTAGTTTTGTAGTTTATAGTTTTTGTAGTGTTTGTAGTTTATAGTTTTTGTAGTTTTGTGATTTTAGGTTTTGCAGTTTTGTAGTTTTGTAGTTTTTGTAGTTTTGTGGTTTTGTAGTTTTGTAGTTTTTGTAGTTTTTGTGGTTTGTAGTATTTGTAGTGTTAGTAGTTTTGTAGTGTTTGTAGTTTTGTAGTTTATAGTTTTTGTAGTGTTTGTAGTTTATAGTTTTTGTAGTGTTTGTAGTTTTGAAGTGTTTGTAGTTTTGTAGTTTATAGTTTTTGTAGTGTTTGTGGTTTATATTTTTTGTAGTTTTTATGGTTTTGTGGTTTTGTAGTTTTGTAGTTTTTGTTGTTTTGTGATTTTAGGTTTTGTAGTTTTTGTAGTTTTGTGGTTTTGTAGTTTTGTAGTTTTTGTAGTTTTTGTAGTTTTTGTGGTTTGTAGTATTTGTAGTGTTAGTAGTTTTGTAGTGTTTGTAGTTTTGTAGTTTATAGTTTTTGTAGTGTTTGTAGTTTATAGTTTTTGTAGTGTTTGTAGTTTATAGTTTTTGTAGTGTTTGTAGTTTTGAAGTGTTTGTAGTTTATAGTTTTTGTAGTTTTTATGGTTTTGTAGTTTTGTAGTTTTTGTAGTTTTGTAGTTTATAGTTTTTGTAGTGTTTGTGGTTTATATTTTTTGTAGTTTTTATGGTTTTGTGATTTTAGGTTTTGTAGTTTTTGTAGTTTTGTGGTTTTGTAGTTTTTGTAGTTTTTGTAGTTTTTGTGGTTTGTAGTATTTGTAGTGTTAGTAGTTTTGTAGTTTTGTAGTTTTTGTAGTTTTATAGTTTTTGTAGTTTTGTAGTTTAGTTTTTGTTGTTAGTTTTATAGTTTTTGTAGTGTTTGTAGTTTTGAAGTGTTTGTAGTTTATAGTTTTTGTAGTTTTTATGGTTTTGTGATTTTAGGTTTTGTAGTTTTTGTAGTTTTGTAGTTTTTGTAGTGTTTGTAGTTTATAGTTTTTGTACGTGTGTGTATGTTTGTGTGTGTGTGTGTGTTGTGTGTGTTGTTGTGTGTTGTTGTGTGTTTGTGTTTTGATTGTGCGTCTGCTGTAGTTATCTGGAGATCTATAACGAGAGGGTGAGGGACCTGCTGAGGAGAAAATCCAACCAGACGTTCAACCTGAGAGTCCGAGAACATCCCAAAGACGGACCCTACGTGGAGGGTGAGACGCACAACACGACACACAACACACAACACACAAACACAACACACTACACACAACACAACACACACTACACACAACACACAAACACAACACACTACACACAACACAACACACTACACACAACACACAAACACAACGAGAACATCCCAAAGACGGACCCTACGTGGAGGGTGAGACGCACAACACGACACACAACACACAACACACAAAACAAACACACTACACACAAACACAACACACTACACACAACACACAAACACAACACACCGAGAACATCCCAAAGACGGACCCTACGTGGAGGGTGAGACGCACAACACGACACACAAACACACAACACACAAACACAACACACTACACACAACACAACACACTACACACAACACACAAACACAACACACACACACACAACACACACAACACACTACACACAACACACAAACACACAACACACAAACACAACACACTACACACAACACAACACACTACACACAACACACAAACACAACACACCGAGAACATCCCAAAGACGGACCCTACGTGGAGGGTGAGACGCACAACAC